AGAGGATTTGGAGGTTGCCTTCTTCTTTCCTTTCATAATAAATAATGGAAAATCAACATAACAAATGGCAAAGTAATTAATCAATAATAGTAATATAAATAATAATAAATATAATAATAATTATTTCATAATAATCCTAAAATACAATAAATAACTAAAATATAATAATATAAATCTTAATATTAATATGAAGACACCTTTAAAACAGTATTGCAGAATCACCGCAACACCTAAAGGCGAGAATGAAAGCATAAGACTGCCATTTGCGTGAAGTTAACCGCAAATGACCATAGAGATAATATAAATAGAGTAGACAAGGTATAGGCGGCTGCGTAAGAGGAAAGTGTCCTGACATAAACAGAATGGGTTGGAAAGAGAAGAAAGATTTAACACCAGTATCTGTCCTTCAATAAGCACCAGCGCAAGAGAGACACCTACTGGTGCTAAAATCGCGTTCTCTTTCTATCAAACGGACGCCTCTATACAGACCATCTCCACTCTATTTATATTATCTCTATGCAAATGACAGTCCCTACAAAAAATAATAACCCTTGCATTTAATAAACAAAAAAAAAATATATATATATATATACGTATGTATATATATAATAAAATATATATAAATAAATAGCCTATTAACTATATTATATAATTAAATTATCTTATAACTAAATAAAAACACATAGAAATATAGAAAATTTTATTAAATTTATTATAAAATATTTATATTTGTACACAAAAAAAAAAAATTTTATAAAAATTCAAGGGACAAAACACTTCGCCCCTTTGAACATGCCGCCCATTGGACGACGAAACAATAATTATATTCCTCAAGGGAGGACGGACGAATCGCCTTTCCCCCTCCCTTGTCACCGTAATCATCAAATTGGACCTGAAACAAAAAAAAAGGGGACATATATGTAAATATACATATAAAACATATATGCATACATATATCAAAATATAAAACAAAAACTTACCCCAACGGGAGGCTACCTCCAAACGGTCCACTCCTCCACTATTTTTATTTTCTGAAACAAAAAAAATATATATAATAATAAATATAATTACACATAAATTATTAATGCTCACACATAAAACTTTTACGAAAGGTAAATATAATTAAAATACTTATGTGCATCCATCTCAATTAGTAGCATTCAAATGACTCAATTGCAAAATTGCTGACCGTTGCACATTTCAAAAAGATAACAAATAAGCCCTACGCACTACACAACAACAAGGATAAAGAAATTCGCATTAAAATAATATTAATAATTTTAAAAAACAATATACATATGAAAAATTAAATTAACCCCCATAAATAAAAACCTAAAAAACATCTAAATATATTCAAAACAAAATTTAAAAATTTCGTATGTTACCTACAGATAATCACACTATAACATAATGTAACTTACCTAATAAGGATAAAAATCAACAATTGATAAAGGATAATGAAGATGTATATAATTTTAAACTATTATTAACTAATAAGAAGAAGAGAAAACACTTAAATAATATAAGAAAATGCATGAACAATTATATACAAAAACAATGAAGTATGAACAATACACGAATAACAAAAATAAATGTTAAAACTCGACGAATGGCAAAAACTATAATAATCATTATAATAATTATTAAATTATAAGAAATGTATACATAAAACTATAATAAAAAATGTAATAATAAATTTAAAAGAAGGACGAAGGAAAATGAAGGAAGGGGATTTGGTGGTCGCCTTCTTCTTTCCTCCTTATTTAAAAAAAAAAAAAAAAGAAGATATATACAACAAATATTCATAAAATATTCTACTTTACAGATGGAAATTCCATTTTTGGGAATAATCACCGATACTACTTATTAGATATCCATGGCAATTAAGATATTAATATTATTAGCATCATTAATAGTCCTAAAAAACATTTTTATATGCTACAAAATGATAACAATGAGAAGAAAAAGATCAAGAAATCAACCAAATTTAAACAATCCATAAAGGAATAGAATAAAAATGAAATAAATAGAAATAAAAAGATGATGATAATAATAAACAAAATTAATCATTAAATATAAGAAAAGTTTATATGTATTGTGTGCATATATATGTATAAAATTAGTCCAAAAAAAAATATATATACGTATATATGCGCACACATATGCATTTTATTCTATACTTACACATCAAATAAATTAATTAACCTTCTATTCATAGTTATATAATCATAATAATAATAATAATAATAATCTTATAATTAATGTTAACTAACAATATTTTACAACTAAACTAACAATACTTAAATAATAATCATTAGTAATTTTAATTTTCAAACAAACAAATCTAACTAAAAGTATACAAGGTATTTTGACTTCAATGTTATTATTATTGTTAATAATAATTGAGCGCAAAAGACCTCGTAGCGAGCTCTGGGTATTAGGCGAACATGGGAGAACAGAGGTGATCTATGAGGCGTGGTCAGGCCCACGCCTCCTCTCCAACAGCCAGGCGCCTGGGCTACCGCCTTCTCTTCTATGGCCGCTATACTTGCTCTCGCGAGTCGCCCGCATGACATATATATTTGAGCGTACTACTTGACGGACATCTTGTCGCTACATATGTATATGCCTCCTTTGCGTGCATACTTCTCGGATAAAATCTTTTAACAATATGCCTTAGATTTATTAATTTAAATCAATAAATTGATTAATCTAACTGATAAAGTTAATGTTTTTACTATTATATTTCAATATAACATTGATTAATAGAATAATAAAATGCATACAAAAAAAATTATATATTATAATTGAGAGTTGTTATTAAATAATTATTAATTCTGATGGTCAATGTATATATGTTGTATTTAAAAAAAAGGTTTTTATGCCTGTTTACTTATTAAATAAATAAATAAATAAATAAATTATTAAATCAACCAATTATGATTAGTCACTAGTAATGATAATAACGATTAAAGGTGTTCATATAAATTAAAAAAAAAATTTATTAAAAATATTATTATTAAAGCAATATCAAAATTTGTACGAGTAACGAAATTACTCAAATTAATGCAAATAATTAAAATCACATGTTGCAAAAAACAATATAACTTACAATAGAGCAAAGTACACTAAAGTAAAAATTAAGTAAACAAAATGAAATACGTACCTGTAACTACACATGCATATAAAGGAATAAATAAATAAAATTTCTAATGAATAAGAAGGAATGAATAAAATTATTATAAAATTTTTAAAAAATTAATAAAAATTATGCATGTGTACCAAGCATAAAAGTTGTCACAGCTTTCTCAAATGCATAACTGAAAAATACAATGTTATCAAAATAATGATAAAGATTAATAAAACACAAGAGTAAGGAATGAGGAAAAAGTGGTAAATTAAAACTGTAGTAAAATTTATTTAAACTAAATAAATAAAATATATATATATATATATATATATAAATTTAAATTAAACAATTCATAAATAACTAAAACAAAATTTGGAAATTTTTTTCTTTCTAATTCGTATGTTTGATTTATGTTTAAATTTTAATTTTGAAATCGTGTCTGTATAAAGTTGTTGAAAAATAATGTAAAAAACGGAAATTCATGGCCCAGTGACGTCACGAAGACAACAAAACAAACATTCCAGTAGGAGATATTCAGTTAACGACGTCAATTTCATCGTCATCACTATCGGATATCGACGGAACTTCCTCTTCAACTAATACACTGTCTCTGTAAAAAAAAGAGAAGGAAAAATAAAACAAAAATCTACACACATAAGAATTTCAATGCACACAATTTATGTACACGCTATACTCACTCGACATCAGAATTGGTTCTTGAATGAGAATGAATTCTTTTTGAAAAGATGCAAGAGAAGCAATATTAATATTTAGAACATAGTTCTTTCCTAAAAGGGTGCAAATTAAATTGTTTTTCATTTAGAATAGTTTCTTTCCTGAAAAGGTGCAAGAAGCTACAATTTAACATTTAGAATAGATAAATTCATTGATTTAACTGTCGTAATCTTACAAATAAAGCAGATTCTTGATTATAATTCACAAATTGCTTCTCTTTCACATTCAGAATAGACTTCCTTCTTATGCAGGTGTAAGTGACGTAATACAACGAATTATGACACGAAATAGTACGCTTTATTATCAAAAACATTAAAGTTGTTTGAGTGTCACACAAGTGTGAGCCGACAAACTGTATCTTCATTCACTTAAAGCAAATTCCGAGCTCTTGTATAACAGCTCAGCGACTTCATTGAAATACGAATCTTCCTCGTAAAAGTGAGTAATCATACATGTAACTTATTTTATTAAATCATAATTATAATAAACTATTATAAAAGGGAATATTTGTCTTTTATTAACGCAAGACCCATAGTCTTTATAAAGTGACAACGATCCTACAAAATAAAAATATCAGGTCTTACCATCCTGATTAATCAGCACAACCCTCCCAAGTTACGAAATTTTTAAATTTAATTTCTGCTCAGTATTATAATTTTTTTTCATTTGATAGTATTTTTATGTTAAATTATATTAACTACGTATAAAATTTGCATCTTTAGTATCCCTACTTTTAGTTTTTGTTGACATTTTTGTGCAACACATCGTCGATGGCTTATGCTGAATTGCTTTTGCACTGGGAAAAAATTGGTCGATCGCATAGCCACACCACATTCTCGTTCATGACTTTAGATATTACTGACAGCAGTTGTTGATGAATTGTAAAAAATTAAATTTTTTCATACGTCACATTGAATTTATAACACATGACTGCAAAATTGGAATCAGCGATCTCAAAAGCCCTTTAGTATCAACCTTAACTCTATGGATATGAATATCTCTGCATATTGAGATTGTATTACAATCTGATATGGGCTATTCTTGTCCCTGTATTCCCTATATTTATTACTATTTATTTCTTATACTGAGTATAATTTTAATGTTAATAATAAAAATGTTTGTTTCTAATTATTAGGTTATTTGATTCTGTAGGACCTGTTTGTCCTCAAAATTATCCAGATGTGTCTAATGAAAATGAAATCTTAACGCAAATGCCAAAAGGAAGGATAGAGTACTTAAAAAGACTTTTACCTCACTTACAAAATCAAAGTGAAGATTGTCTTTATCTAAACATATATGCTCCTACAATGGGTACGTTGTTAAACTTAAAATTTCTTCTTCAATTATTAAAATATAAATTAATTGTCTGAATGTTATATATGTTTGACATAGATATGACACTTAAACATTAAATTTATTACTGGGGAAACCACATTATACGGCTGATTTTTATGCATTTTTTAAGATTATTTATTTATGGGGAGAATTAATTAAAATTCAATGAAATTTGGACACAATTTTATTGTGCTTTTGTATAATCTTTGTAAATTTTTTTGACCAATTTTGACGAAATATAAAGCAGTTATGCAGTGGTAATTGCTGATTGTCCTGATATTTTTTCTCGATTTGCAGAACGTGTAGCAATTTTAATCTAAAATCAAGATTTTTTTACATTATTAACTTATTTTCTAAGAATAATTAAAATAATTTAAAAAATTATCGAAAACTAGAAATTTAGTTAACAATAAAATAAAGTTCTTATCGATGAATCTGCAATTCCAGCACCACATTGTAAGACTTCATACGATGCCAAATAAGTAAAAAAAGCAAACTGCTCCATTATAACGGCAGCGTGATCCAGACTGTGACCAATGTACTCCCTTTACAGCATCCGGGTATTTAACATATCCTACGGATGTCCTGTGGATAACCGGAAAGTTACATTCATAGGATGTCTCAGAGATATCCATTGAAGTCCTGAGGGCATCAATGAGATATCTAAATTTTCGGATACGGATAGGATGTCAGTAGTATAGGGTGCGTATGGCCCGCCAGACAGTCCGTGGAGCGGTGATGTAGAGGGGGAGCGGGGCCAATGTCTAGCGGGAATTGTTAGCTGCAGGGAGGGTGGAGGTGGAAATGGGGGCGATGATGACGTATATACTGGTGAAAGTAGAATGTGTGGCAAAGAAAACTAGTCAAGTTCCGTTTTCAAACACTCACAAGAGTGAGAATAAAGAATAGACATGATTATTTATTTATTTCCAAAAATATCTAAGAAATTTTTATTTTTTTTGCTTTTTTGTTTTTCCACTCTTTTTCTTTCTTTTTACTTGTTTATTATTAATAGATATCCTTTTTGTTCTTTTTTTCTTTGTATTTCTTTTCTTTTTTCCAATTGTCTTGAGAGGTTTCTTTTTTATTCTTCTTGTAGTTTTCCTTTTCTTACGTTTGACACTTAGTGTTGGAAGTACACCATGCAATTGAGCTCTTAAATTTTTTTCCGCAATCTTATAACCTGTGCCATTTATTAAACTTTGAAATTTTCAGTTGCTTTTCTCTTCAAGTTCTCTCGACTTTCATTAAAACGTATTTTCATCGCTTCTTTGAAAGGTACATTATTTTCAACATCATCTAATGTGTTAATACCTGCATGCAAAGCCTCTCTACCTACTGTCCTTGCACCTCTGGCAAATATTGGTAAAACACGTCGAAAAAGACCACTGAGACAACTCCCAATTCCATGACCTCTTTGATATAGTATAACCAACATAAATGTTTGATATACCACCCCCACCGACTTGTGATGTATAATAATCTTGATAATAAGACATTTTTAATACTATTAATCAAATTTTTTTAAAATGTAGTGTACGTACCAAACTCAAATGGTATTAAATGCCCTACATGGTCCCTTATATCAATTTCTATAGGTCGAAATTGAATTCGAAGAAGAGGTATATAATTTGGTGATGAAAGTTGTATAAGTTGAGTTGAGGCAAATACATAATTTTTACTTTCAATAGGTATAATTCTCAAGAGTGGTGATTGAACGTCACCGGTAAGTCGAAGTTCACAAATGTCACAATATAAAATATTTTTTCAGATAGTCCTCTTGCTATACTAGCAGGATCATTGGCGAAATACACATTGTTTACAGCTATTAATTGTTCAGGAGCAAATCCAAGAATTTTGGAGACTTTTACGTTAATTGATAGAAAATTTTGTCCCGACATTTCACAATTTTCGTTACATTCTTGTTGAACTCTAACATACGAGTCTTCTTCATCTTTAAAAGTTAAGCTGACATGATTACAAATCATTGGCGTTTGATTAACTGTTGTAACTAAATCTTTAACTTTTTTGTAAATTCCTGGACGTATAAAATCAACATTCTCAGGTTTTAACCACCATACGGTGGATGCTTGCTTTGTTTTATTAAATTCAATTTCATAAATTGAATTTGTCATCATCTCAGTTGAATCTTTATTATCATTGTCGTAATCATAGTTATCACTATTGTTATCATCTTTATTTAGTGAAGCATAAAAGTATTTTATTGACATTGGATATTTTTCAAGTAACTGTTTTCCATCATCAAAATAATAATCTTCTTTGCTGCGTTTTCTTCCATCTGTATCATTATTTTGTATCCATTATAAGTTTTTTTAAATCAGACTCTGGAATCCAAAAATTATATTTATTAGGATAACCTTTCCACTTGACAAGTACTTGCCTGTTTCTACCTGTACCTTTTCCACAAATTATTTTTTCAACCATAAACTCAGTATCAGTCAGAAGATACTATTTTTTTAAAATTGATAATTCTCGTTCATAAAACAATCCGTCTATAATCTCATTTGATAAATCTTTCAATTCGTAAACAACCAGTGAATGAAGTCGTTCATGAAAAACTCGTTTTATTATAAATATTTCTTCAGTTCGCAAAGGGTCCCCTTTCTCTACTGATACGTATTCGCGTAGAATCAAATTAAAATTTACATAGTATATCATATAGATATACACTACCGTCCGAAATTGTGCGAACTCTGCTTTTTCAACAACTATAAAACTGTTCAAATCTTCAAAAATATTAAAACTAAAATTTTTTTCTCTTTATTTTATTAAAGTTAATAAAATTCTGAAAGAAATGACACCTTGACAAAGAGAATATGTTAATTTTTCAATTAGATATCTAAGAAAAACCCAATTTTCAATGTTTTTACTATTTTTTTTATTTCTCTGGCAAAAATTAATATTTTTAAACGTTCTTAGGCTCATTGAAATCGTATTTTGTTATGCAATTCAAATTATATAAAACAATTCATGTACACATTCTCCCCTAGCGTATGCAAACCGTGAAAGTTGGCTCCTAAAATGTCAAAAAATTTAAATTTAATTCTACAATAAAATATAATGTTTAAAAATCAAGTAAATATATCATTCTAAACTTCTCTGATTTATGTAAGTAAATTTAAGATTTATACATTTTACTGATCATTTTTTGTCATATAAATATTAATCACAATTTTTTGACATTTTATGAGCCAACTTTCACGGTTTGCATACGCTAGGGAAGAATGTGTACATGAATTGTTTTATATAATTTGAATTGCATAACAAAATACGATTTCAATGAGCCTAAGAACGTTTAAAAATATTAATTTTTGCCAGAGAAATAAAAAAAATAGTAAAAACATTGAAAATTGGGTTTTTCTTAGATATCTAATTGAAAAATTAACATATTCTCTTTGTCAAGGTGTCATTTCTTTCAGAATTTTATTCACTTTAATAAAATAAAGAGAAAAAAATTTTAGTTTTAATATTTTTGAAGATTTGAACAGTTTTATAGTTGTTGAAAAAGCAGAGTTCGCACAATTTCGGACGGTAGTGTATATCTATATGATATACTATGTAAATTTTAATTTGATTCTACGCGAATAATTTTTAAGATTTAGAAAGAAATACTATTCTTTACAGAGTATTACATGGTAGAAAGAAAGCTAAATATAAGGAAGGTGATTAGACAAGGTTATGACAAACCCTTTTTCATACATTGTCATAAATTTTGTCGAAAAGTATGATTCAAAATGCCACAAATAAATCGATGTTGCAATCCTTTAGGCAAAAATGGGCATAAGAGTGTTTATAAAATTTTAGTAAAAGTAACAGAAAATTGGAACGAAAATTTTGATAATTTAATAGGAAAATTTATTTGCAAATCATGCAAAACGCAAGTATACCGATTTCCATATGAAAAATGTGAATTAATTAAATATGATACAGAAAAAATATTACATGATGAAGCTAGTGATAGTGAAGACGAAGTTCCTGATAATGTTCAACGTGATCCAGATTATGAAAATATTGAATATCGAAATAAAAAACTGAAAGAAGTGAATGAATTTCTCATTCTAGTTGGACAACCTCCACTTAAAAAACTGCGGTCTGGGCTTTTTCTTCCTGTAGAAAATTCTAATGGAAACAATGCTGTAAATGAAAGTTGGATTGAGGATCTGAAAACAGCTTTATTTAATGAAAATTCTCGAAGTGGTAAAATTTCTCTTTTAACAACGGTGACTCTTGAATGGAGTATTCGACGAATGGCAAGAGAACTTGATGTATCTCGCAGAATGGCATCAAGAGCTAAAAAATTACATATCAGTAATGGATATGGGGCTTATCCTGAACCAAAGAATGGTCGTCGACTAGAAGCTAATATTGTGGAAAAAGTTGAAGAATTCTATTTTTCTGAAGAAAACAGTCGCATCATGCCAGGCAAAAAAGATTGTATTTCCGTTGTAAAAAACGGCCAACGTCGAACGGAACAAAAAAGATTACTTCTATTTAACCTAAATGAATTGCATGAAAAATTTTTTAAAAAATTTCCGGAAATTAAAATATCGTTATCTACATTTTCTCGACTCCGACCTCGTGAATGCATTATAGCAGGGAAATCTGGAACGCATAATGTTTGTGTGTGCAAAATACATGAAAATATGAGATTTCAATTTGATGCAATTAAAAAAGAATTAAGAAAGAAAGGAGTAAACTTCGACACTAAATATCGTGATATTTTCAAAGACATGATTTGCCAAAATGCTGGTCCGGATTGTTATTTTTCCACTTGTAAGAGCTGTCCTGGAATCAAAGTTGTTTTTAATAAGTTGAAACTTTTGCTTGAAAGTAATGGAGTATCCCAAATTCAATTTGAGCAATGGACTAATGTTGATAGGTATTATACTGTTCAATAATGTCTTCTCTTTTTCGATTCTCAATTTTCCAGACTTTCCTACTTATTACACAAACAA